GGAGAGGGAGAGGGAGAGGGAGAGGGAGAGGGAGAGGGAGAGGGAGAGGGAGAGGGAGAGGGAGAGGGAGAGGGAGAGGGAGAGGGAGAGGGAGGGAGAGGAGAGGAGAGGAAAGGAAAGGAGAGGACAGTCACGTTCCATTTCATTTGAAGAGATGCATTCGCTGCAAGCCCTACAAACCTTTTCCCAGAGGTCGTTTCCGGGATTCTGTGGAAGTAGTTTTTGGCAAACTTTGCTTGGTAGGCTCGAAGCAGTATTGTCTCTCGGGCAAGTGCTGGTGGCAGGTGCGTGCTGAATTGGAATCAAAGGTGAAAAGCACTGGCGCTGTTGATTTAGCGATTTAGCACTCTGCCAGGGAAAGAAATTCAGTTGCGTTTGGCCCTGTCGCCTCTACTCTCAGCACAAATGGACGGTTGGCAATGGGCCAGGCAGGGTTGCAGCATTTGGATGGAGGAACCAACCTTTGTGGGAGCGACATGATTGATTGGCAGCGTTCAGTGCGTTTTTGATTAGAAGACAACAGAGGAGGCGGCTGAATCTGCGTGGAAATTTGTGCCAAGCCTAGAGTTCGATTGGCCCGACGCGCAATGCGCAACCGATGCATTTCGTGACTTTGTTGCAATCATTTCGATTTCCAGCCGCTGAATTTTTGCTTGCTAAGGTTCAAAACTTTCAGAAGCACGACGCTGCCTTTCAGGAGAAACTTTTCGTGTCATTGGCAATGGATCAGAGCAATGAGGCAGCATTTTTGACAAGGTTCAGCAGATTTGTCGTTTGCTTCCTGCAGGAGAAGGAGGAATATTCGCCCGTTGTCACCCACAAGCAGCTGCTGCAGACATTAAGGACACAGTTTCTACATTGTCTAGGGTTGGAATGGAAGTTATATTTATAGTATATATATATATAAATGTAATCCAAAGTCTAGGATTTTCGAGCAAGCTCTTTTGCGGGGAGCTTACTTGAAGAAGCGTGAGCTCTCCTGCGTCCTGTCGGTAGTAGCTAGAAGTAGCTACCTAGTCTCTACTAGCTACCTAGTCCTACCCCCCCAACGGGCTTAAAAAAAAGACACGAAAACTACTTAATAGCTACCAGTAGCGAGCCTCACGGCTTAAACCAGTTGAAAACCAGCTTGAAAACCAAACTCACAGCTGGGTAGAGCTGATTAGAACTCGTTCTGTCGCATCACAGGACCTTTGATCCCCTCATTACCAACCAGCAGCTGGAATGGGTCCTTGGGAAGGTGCAACTACTGACAGTCTGATTCCAGTCGAATCGCTGTTACATCAGGAGCACACATCAGGAAGCTCGTTAGTATCCCTCGAGGAACTTTGGGCCGATCTTCAGGAGACAGTTCTGCTTCTCTTCGAAGTGCAATTGGAATCATCCAAAGACAAAAATGGAAGGAAGGCGACTTTGAGGTCGATCCGGTAGAGTTATCCTTCGACATGTTGAGCGATCAGAACCAAGAGTTCTTGGACCTTGAGAAGGTGCTTCCAAGAAACGACAAACAATGTTTCATTGAACTATTGTCACATTCAATGCGTTTTATCATGTCTAATGTGTAATTCCCTAGGTCCGAGAGGCCCTCACACAGAGTGGAATCAGTGGCTTAACGGACGAGATCATGTCGAAAGCAATCAGAAGGACTCAAGAGATTGAAGTGCGACTGACTTTGTCAAACCTGTGTTCTCATGCGTAGTCATTTGTCTTCCTATGTAGCAGCGTGCATGTTCTTTGGCGAGCAAGGACCAAAACCCTACGTGCAGTTGTGTGCTGTTTTGGACCCTAAAACCTAAAACCCAAACTGAAGGTTTTGCTCGACAACTTTAGCGGTTTGGGCCTTGAGTTTATGAATTTGGCCTGAACCAACCCCTTCTTGGCGACAAGGCAGTTGTTTACAGAGACTTTGCTGAGTGTGCAAAATCATCAGAAGCTGCAGGATACGAGATTTGGCTCGCGAAAATGTCAGGCTGTAGAGAGTCAGAGTACGTCATTGCACAACGATTGATAGTCCAGAACACATCTATGCAGAGGCTCGGAGGCTTGCAAAGGTACCTTTCCACCATGCCCTTCAGACCTTGCTGGTGGCACCATGCAGTAAATAGAAACACCTCATTTGATCAGCTAGTGGCTTTTCTCGCAAGGGTAAGTTGGAGGTCCTAGTTTCGCCAGGGACGCAAGAGGGAAGAAGAAAGAGGAAGTTGACTTCCGTGACTACAGGACCGCCGGACTTGACTGTAGGACGGAAGACCAAGGCGTAAAAACTATAGGCGGTATCGGCGGTATCCTTGATCCCATTGTTGGAACATATCTCGGCACATCTCGGTTTTGAAGATGAAGTCAGAGTGGCTGTCCAAAATCGTTGCATCTGGATTCCACATTATTCTCTGAGGTTTTGGCTTCCTTTCGGCTGCGTTTCACAGCTTCACCCTGCTTCGCAGCTTCTTCCTTTCATGCTTTTGGCCGTCCAAACTTAGGAGACTCTTCTCGATGGGAGGCCGTTGCTGCCACGCTTCCTTACAACCTAGCTGTTTGTTGCGATTTATTGCGTATGGCTGAGCCTTCGTGCGGCAGGTCCGGGTGGAGTTGAGACGACCTATCTTTGACCAGAGCGGGTCGATTGTGATCACAATTTAGCGATGGCCTCCAACCTAATAGCAAAAGGAACCTAGTAGGAATGGCCTCCAACCTAAGAGCGATGGCCTCCAACCTAGAAGCGATAGCCTCCAACCTAATAGCGATGGCCTCCAACTACTTGCACCATTTCACAGAAAAGTCTGTGGATGTTTCACCTGTCTCACTTTGGATTTGTGGACCCAAAATGCTGGCCGCTGCGACTGGACACGAAAGAGCAAGTAGCTAGACTTCAACATTTTGAGTATTTGGCCGACGACACGCAGCGTAATTTGCTTGGCTCAACAATCAGACATCCCAGGGCTTTCAAGCCATAATCTTAGTTTCTGAACCTTGCAGCACAGAAAGCCGGAACAATAATAATCCAAAAGAAAGCTTCGATATCCGAAATGTTTCCAAGACACGTGCGCACACTATTTTTTCAGCTTTCAATTTTGGATTGCAAGCCTTAGGCTGCAGAGGACCTCCAGCAGCATGAAGCAGGCGATGTCATTCATGCCAAACCGGCCGAAAACACATGAACTTCATTCGTCTCGCAAGCTGCATAGCCTAGCTGCTTCAAGGGTTTGTCTTAACAAGCTCGCACCTTTCGCAATTTTCAACTATCCTGCAAATGAACAAACGCCGTCCAAGTTTGACACTGCAGCATTTGGCTCCATTGTCATTATTCTCACCGCGCAACAAAGCTGGTAGCAGTTGGCTTATAATGGCATTGCAAGTAAGTGTGAAGCATCGGTGTGAAAGGTAGCTGTTGGCTTGTCACTCTTGCTGATGCGCAACCTGCCTTGACATGAGGCAATGACACAAATCATCTCCAGGTGGAGCATGACATTTAATAGTCAAACTCTGCGGCAATAATTGTGAGAGTCCAACAGTCCAGTACTGTATATTTTTGTTTTACTTCCTTTTTGACAGTTCCTGAAGTGACTCCAGGCATGCTCTTCTGCAGACCTGTGGCATGACCGTTCAATTCCCAGCATGATGCGTTTGCCACATGGTAGATGTGTCCGGCCTTGTCAAACATTATAATGCATCATACAAATGAAGAGAAAACACAGAGATGAACAAATAAGGTAAGGCCGCGTTAAATGGGCCCTACAAACCTATTATATATCTCTTTTTTGCCTTAAACGGACTTTTTTCTTTGTTCTTGGCCGAGTTGCTGGTGCTTCCTTTCGCTGGGATGCTGTGGCAGAAGTTGATCGGCAAGGTGCAGCAGCGGTGGTTTTAGCAAGTAGAGCCTCTGGGGGAACTTAAATAGGGACACTGCTGTCTTGTCTTCAACAGTGAAGGCAAAACATCAGGGTTGGGAGTAAGGGTTCCAAAGCGAAGAGACAACGAAGTCCAATTGTTTGATGCAAAGTGAATTTGGTTGCGACACTTTATAAACATGTGTTGCGAGTATAGGCCGAGTGTTGGAAGCATGGGTGCGAGCATGGTCTTATCCTGAATAGTCCGGCCTTCCCACGTTTTGGGGGGAGAATGGTGCCAGGCTGACGGCCAGAATCTTGCCTCCCTTTTGGCGGTCATTTGGAACTACCGCAGGACCTCACCTGGCGCTTGAGAGAGTTTGCCGTTTTTGTTGTAAATCCTTGGATTGACTGATGTTCTCAGGACAGACTTCCGTGGATTCATGAAGAGCCACCGTGCGGCTATCAAACAGGGCAAGGAATCAGGTGGGGCGGTGTTATATACTGCAAACACCATCCTTGGCTTTTGCCACTGGGGACAGGAGACTATGTCCCTGGGGTGATGAACTACTACAGCTTGATGTCGGACTGATCCAGCTATTGATATTTTTGCAAAGATACCGTCATTTGAGGGAGCACAAGACGCAAGCGCTGCAGAGGACCTTATCACTCTGTGCTCGGGCCCATACTGGCACTTTGTGCCAATGCTTAAGGGAAAGTCTCGAGCAGAGTCTTGGCAACTTTGCGCTCCTGAGCAACTCTTTTTGAAGGTAGGAATTGTTTCTGCTTTCTGCTCAACAAAAAGGAACACACAAACATACGAGAATTGAGGAATGCATTGCAACATTGGGCAACAGACAACCATTATAACTCTTGCTTCTCTCGACTGCTTCTTCAGTTGGTGCTTACTCTTCTGGGAGGAATGGATTGTAGACAGGTCGGCAATGTTTGGGCACGATGGAGTGTAGCGGGCCATGGAAAACAATTCACTTCACTCTTGTTTTGATGGTTTCTCGACAGCTTTTTAAAGTTAGTGCCAGTTGGACACGAGTTAATTCATCAGTGAGCAAGAGAGTATCAGAACAACACATGATGATCTATTCATCAGTGACAGAAAGGTTAAAACAATCAAAACCAGAGATCATTGGAGACAGAACTGGTGGTGAGACCCCTATGGTAAAGAATCAGCTTGTATTTTAAGTGTCTAAACTCTGCCGCCCGCTTTATGTCCCACAAGGAGTGTCCTACTAGAGTGTCGTGTAAGAGTGACCCACAAGAGTGTCCCAGAAGAGTGTCCCAGAAGAGTGTCCTACAAGAGTGTCCCGCAAGAGTGTCCCACAAGAGTGTCCTGCAAGTGGCCCACAAGAGTGTCCTACAAGAGTGACCCACAAGAGTCTCCTACAAGAGTTTCCTACAAGAGTGTCCCACAAGAGTGTCCTACAAGAGTGTCATTTGGACATATGTATATAGCTTTTCGAACGTGTTTGCATTCGGGTTCGTGGGCTCCATCTTGTTTTCTTTTTGGGGGCAGGACGTGAAGAGGAGAGGGAAAGAGGAGGAGGAGGAAGAAGAAGAGGAAGATGAAGGTAGAAACTGTAGCAGCTGAGCTGTAGAAGCTGTAGCTACTAGGGACTGGACACAGAAGGGCGAAGTTTTCTTCAAGGTAGCTACTCCCCTTAGCGGGGAAGTAGCTTCCTTCAAAAACTCCTTCGATCAATATGGTTCCTAGGTTTTTTAGGGAGACCTAGCCTCCCTGAGGGCTCCGTTTCTTGAGCTTGCTCTTTTGTGAGGAGAGCCATTCTCAATTCCATCATACAATGACGTGTTACTTGGGCGCAGGCAAGATCGAGCTTGCTTCTTTTGTGCCCATATTGCAAGACTTGTCACGGAGCACAAGTTCCCTGCTTCCAGGGCATTCCTCGCATGGGCACTGAAGATGTGTGTAATATACGTATACTGTACATGTATACACACATACACACAAAATGCTAGACAGATTCATTATGTATACTGTATACTCACATATTTCAACTGCACTTCAAGCTTCGTCAGGCAAAGAGGACACAGTATTGGAGCCCGCTTCTCAAGAACCCTTCTCAAGCGCGGTTATCAAGACCATCAAACACCTTTGGCCTGTACCAAGTTAACCGCTGCAAAACAACAAACGAAGGATTGGCTGTGGCTATGGAGAGATGGGCCGCCAAGTTGCAAAGATCTCCGGTGCCTCGGCCACTTGGTTTCAAAGGCATTTGTTCATCGGGGCGAACATGTTGCTTCTTGTTATATACTAGTTACTAGTAGCTATTTGCTCCTAGTAGTAATGCCCTTTGCTACTAGTAGCGATGCCCTTGTTCCTGGTAGCTTCTTGCTACATAGCAGTTGTTTCGCTTGGTTCTGTCTCTTGCTCTAAAAAGGAAATGCCAGGTGTGTTCAAATGTTGTATATCGCATATATAGGTCACTGGGTTGACGATGGCAGATGCCGAGATCGTCGGTGGCAATGAGCGCATCAAGGAGCCCGTGCATGTCGAATGTGTACTTGCTTTCCATTTTGTAGCGTCCTTGCTCCTAGTAGCGATGCCCTTTGTTACTAGTAGCTTTTTGTTACTAGTAGTAAGGCCAGGAGCCACTAGTAGCGTCCTTGCTCCTAGTAGCGATGCCCTTTGTCTCATTGTCCAGGCGGCTGGTCTGGATGATCGTTGCAAGATTGCACTTCTCCCAGTTTCCAACACATTTGCTCCCGGGGGCAGCTGCTGAATGGTCAGGTACAGGGCAACTACCACAAAACAGACTTTCAGGCTCGGCTTGCTCGCATGCTCTTGAAAAGAACTTCGGATCTAGTTTTCTTATGTTTTCTTTTATTTTTGAATCTTTGAGGACGCCAGCTTCACCAAAGTCTTCGGGATCTACACGTTGAAATACTCGTCAGATTTGGACGCTGTGTTTCGCGAGGCCACAAGATTCCGGAAGGATGTTGTTAATCCCGATTTCGCAAGATTTACTCTAGCATTGCATCACACCTGCAAAAGGTCGCAAGGCTGCTGAAGCCAGGTGGCACCTTTCTTTCCTACGAGATCCTTGCCATGAGCTGAGATCTAAAGGCCAAAGATTGCCAAAGGGGCATTGGCATTGACGATTTTTGATGAATTCCAGATCCTCCGTCACAACTTTCACGCAGACTTCATAGTGCACTAGCCAAGCTGAAAGGTGACAGATGAATTTGAGAGGGCCAAGCCTGAGCACAAGAAGTATGCTCGGGCCTACGGTAGTGAACATTGAACATGAGATCTCTCTTAGGGAAAGGGGGGTTCCAGAAGCTGCGAGGTGGAGAATATCTCGACCTGCACATGTATGCCACCGTGGTTTGCTCAGCTTGGTCACTTGTCACTTGTCGCCTTAAATCCTTGAAGCTACCATGGCTACAGGCTCTGGCCTGCTGAAGCAATGCGTGCTGCTGCTCAAAAAGCAGGTCTTTACATTCAAACGACTGTGTGGACTGCAAGTACCACGATGAAACTCACCTGTCCACATCAGAGTGATGTGTACAGGCTTGGTGCCTGTTGTTGAGGAGGACTGTCGGTCCAGAGCACACCAAACAAGGATGTTTCTAGTTTCTAGATGCCCGATTCAGGACATTGGAGCAGGGCCAAATGTTCGGCCTTGGTATACGTGCTTCACCAATGGCGTTTATCAGATTCTGGCCACTTAGTGCAATCAGAAGCACAGTGAATCTTAATTGTGGGCAGCACCTCCATGAGGCATGTCCACTTTTGCTGCCATTCTTCAGATGTGCAGAGGCCGATCATTGTGATGTCAAAAGCAGATAAACAACATGGATTGGAGTTCGAGATGCCAATATTTTTTTTCTCAGAAACTATGCCATTGTCAATATCGTCGTACTACACTTCTCAAAGTCGGATTTGGCTGTCTGCAGACGCTGCGGCTGCTCCCTCCATCCTTCAGCGAGTGGTTTGAGAACTTGCTAGTGAAAGCCTTACTGTTGCAAAAAAAAAAGTTCAACCCTGGACAAGAAATAAGTTCTCAAGTTTCAAAGCTTCTTAAGTCTTAATTTAAATTTCCCAAGACATCGCATCGCCCTTTCGCGTCCTAGGTAGAGCTACTTAAGCCACTACTAACCCCCCCACGGCCAAAAAGAAGGAAAGTACGTAGTTCGTGTTGTGCCACCCTTGGT